GCACTCAAGTAATGTGCTTGCCATTCTGTCATGGACATAATCAACACTTCCAGACTACAGCCACAGGAAGGTAATTAGCAAAGTCACAGCTTGAGGAGCCAGTACCAGCTGAGCTGTGGACAGGACAGAGGCCATACCACAATAGTTAACACTGTGTGAAGCATCACCGGTCAGACAATTGTCATATTTAGGGCATAGATTTAACTGAAACTATCAATTCAAAGGTGGTTTAATTTGAGTAATGCCAAAATAAGTCTTTACATCAAGGGAAAGGGATCATCAATTGTGACTACTTTTACACAACTGGTACCTAAAAACTAAATATTATATCTATGGAAGTGTAACTTAGTCCTATGTTCCTCAGAAACCAGAAACCTTCAGTGACTTCAGGTTCAGTGTTAAATAACATGATCAATCAATATCAAACAAGTGCAGCTTTGATTTTGTACACGATAAATAGACCCATGGATAGGCTACAGTGAAAAACATAAAAACATGATGCAGTGGCCCCATTTGGCCCTCTTCTGTCCCCATCCATCCCCAGTGCCTCCTCAGTCTAATCTCTGACTGTGCTGTGAGGACAGTGGGGTCCTCTTACAGTAGCAATCTGATGGAAATGCTATCATAGACCCAGCACCTAGATAATTGGGCTTTCTCCCTCTGGTGAACTTCACAAGATAAAAGAGACCTTTGGTGTCAATAAGGATCAACAGCGTACTGTACAATCAACAACATCCACAGAGGACAGGCCTATTGGTCACATCACATTCGCTCTTCTCAAGTTTCTCAGAGCACAGGGTAAAGCTCTGAGCAACCTCAGTCCGTTGATTAGAAAATATCCTTATGCCATTTCTGTAGTGTACTACAGTCTACTGTGTAGTATCTAAGATAACAGTAAAGAAAACAATATGATTGAAGGAGATTCAGTTCCACCTAGTGGACAACATTATAACTAATCTTACTGCAATTGTGAAGAAAGAATTATAGATAATATACTATAAATAAATAAATCTTAATACCTTCATGGGATTATGTTGAGGATTTTAATGAAAAAAAGAATTTCCAGATACAGTACCTATATAACCAAACTATGAAATTAGCTGAGACACTCCTTCATTTAACACAAAATGTGGAAGCCATTTTAGTGCAGGTTTGAATTTTATCTACCAGTAGTTATTTTTGAAATGCATTAATACAAATAGGCACTCAATGTTGTTATTCTCAATACTGAAAGATCATCACTTGAAATCATGCTTGGGTTAATTCATCTGTATGGGCAATGAACCATAATACATTACGTTCACATGCAATGTATACTCAAATCAAATCAAATTGTATTTGTCACATACACGTGTTTAGCAGATGTTATAGCAGGTGTAGCGAAAAGCTTATAAATACACTGAGTTTCCATGACTAACCAGGTGAATCCAGAAGGATTACTTTATACTATTCCAGGTATTCCTTAAAGAGGTAGGGTTTCAAGTGTCTCCGGAAGGTGGTCAGTGACTCCGCTGTCCTGGCGTCATGGGGGAGCTTGTTCCACCATTGGGGTGCCAGAGCAGCAAATAGCTTTGACTGGGCTGAGCAGGGAACTGTGCTTCCGTAGAGGTAGGGGAGCTAGCAGGCCAGAGGTGGATGAACGTAGTGCCCTCGTTTGGGTGTAGGGTCTGATCAGAGCCTGAAGGTAAGGAGGTGCCATTCCCCTCACAGCTCCGTAGGCAAGCACAATGGACTTGTAGTAGATGCGAGCCTCAACTGGCAGCCAGTGGACATCCAGTGGACATCCAGCCAACTTGACACAACACTGTGGGAAGCATTTGAGTCAACATGGGGCAGCATCCCTGTGGAACGCTTTCGACACCTTGTAGAGTCCATGCCCTGACGAATTGAGGCTGTTCTGAGGGCAAAAGGGGGTGCAACTCATTATTAGGAACGTGTTCCTAATGTTTCATACACTTTAATGTACAGTACCAGTCAAAGGTTTGGACACACCTACTCATTCAAGGGTTTTTCTTTATTTTTACTATTTTCTACATTGTAGAATAATAGTGAAGACATCAAAACTATGAAATAACAAGGAATCAGGAGTGGAATCATGTAGTAACCACAAAAGTGTTAAACAAATCAAAATATATTTTATATTTGAGATTCTTCAAAGTAGCCACCCTTTGCCTTGATGACAGCTTTGCACACTCTTGGCATTCTCTCAACCAGCACCACCTGGAATGCTTTTCCAACAGTCTTGAAGGAGTTCCCAGATATGCTGAGCACTTGTTGGCTGCTTTTCCTTCACTCTGTGGTCCAACCATCTCAATTGGGTTGAGGTCGGGGGATTGTGGAGGCCAGGTCATCTGATGCAGCACTCCATCACTCTCCTTCTTGGTAAAAATAGCCCTTACACAGCCTGGAGTTGTGTTGGGTCATTGTCCTGTCGAAAAACAAATGATAGTCCCACTAAGCGTAAACCAGATGGGATGGCATATCGCTGCAGAATGCAGTGGTAGCCATGCTGGTTAAGTGTGCCTTGAATTCTAAATAAATCACTGACAGTGTCACCAGCAAAGCACCCCCACACCATCACACCTCCATGCTTCACGGTGGGAACCACACATGCGTTCACCTACTCTGCGTCTCACAAAGACACAGCGGTTGTAACCAAAAATCTCACATTTTGACTCATCAGACCAAAGGACAGATTTCCACCGGTATAATGTCCATTGCTCGTGTTTCTTGGCCCAAGCAAGTCTCTTATTATTATTGGTGTCCTTTAGTAGTGGTTTCTTTGCAACAATTCTGAGCAGTTGATGTTAAGATGTGTCTGTTACTTGAACTCTGTGAAGTATTTAATTGGGCTGCAATTTCTGAGGCTGCTAACTCTAATGGATTTATCCTCTGCAGCAGAGGTAACTCTAGGTCTTCCTTTCCTGTGGCGGTCCTTATGAGAGCCAGTTTCATCATAGCGCTTGATGGATTTTGCGACTGCACTTGAAGAAACTTTCAGAGTTCTTGACATTTTCTGGATTGACTGACTTTCATGTCTTAAAGTAATGATGGACTGTTGTTTCTCTTTGCTTATTTGAGCTGTTCTTGCCATAATATGGACTTGGTATTTTACCAAATAGGGCTATCTTCTGTATACCACCCCTACCTTGTCACAACACAACTGATTGGCTCAAATTCCACAAATTAACTTTTAACAAGGCACACCTATTAATTGAAATGCATTCCAGGTGGCTACCTGGTGAAGGTGTGCAAAGCTGTCATCAAGGTAAAGGGTGGCTACTTTGAAGAATCTCAAATATATTTGTTTAACCCTTTTTTGGTTACTACATGATTCCATATGTGTTATGTCATAGTTTTGATGTCTTCACTATTATTGTACAATGTAGAAAATAGTAAAAATAAAGAAAAACCCTGCAATGAGTAGGTGTGTTCAAACTTTTGACTGGCACTGTATATCAGAACTGAATTAATGTCTTCAATTTTATTTTAAACAATTGAATTCACAATACTCAAATGTTTGCACTGTTTTACTATAGTTCAGTCAAGATTCTTCAATAGACCATCAATTTCAACATTTCACCTCAAAAGCAACATTTCACATCTCTTAAGTACACCAATCTTTTCACCATGTTTAAAACACACTGATCTCATTTCAGTCACATTGGGAAACTTCATATCCATTAAGAGGTAAATAATCGGACATTAAATTATGAAATGTGCAATAATTACCCAACAACTCATAATTATCAAATTTGAGAGCAGTATCCAGATAATAACCATTAAATTATAACCATTTTAAATATCAAACACCAACATATCGTTCTTGAAATGCATTGTTATAGAGCTGTACACTAATGACTGATTAATAAACTGACTCAGTAACATTGTGGCAACATATGGCATTTCTCAGAGCAGAAGTGAGAGGTTCAGAATCCCACTTCCTCACCTAAACCCCCTGTAGACTTCAAGGGACGGTTTTCCAGACAGATTAAGCCTAGTCCGGGACTAAAAAGCATGGTCAATGGAAAATCTCTATTGAAATAGCTTCTTAGTCCAGGACTATGCTTAATCGGTGTTGAGAGTACTGTGTAGTACCATTTTCACACTCCTGAGCCAAACTGAGCCAAGCCAAGCCTGAGCTGTACTGGGCTGACCTGAATATGCATCCACCATAGTTTCTGGAACCGTGCTGGAAAGGATCATGTGAAAATATCTGAGCCAGCACAGTACGGTTTAAGTTGGCCTTCCGTGAATCAAGCATAGTTGGGATAGAGAGCTAAGCCTCAGGGTGGGGTGGGTAGGGGGTATTACAACTGAGCTCCAGGGTTCATAAATATGTAGTTAGAGCAGGGGTAGGTTGATACTTCACAGTCCAGTGAGCTTTAATCAGGATGTGGACAAATTAAATTATTTCAGTAAGAGGGCTCAGACTCAGAGAACCCTCGAGGGGGGTTAGGGTGTGTCCCCCTAGTTTATCTCCCTCACACACCGTCTCTCTGGGGCTCTGGAGAGGGTCACTCTTAAAGCTCCAGCACTGCGGGAGCTCAGCCAATGAGGGGGAATCCCCAACCTGCCTTGGCAGCAGCTAATGGGGATCAATAATAAATACAAATACAATCAACTGGAACCAGGCCTACTTTAACAACAGGGGATCCCGACTAATATATTATTGTAAAAGTGAGGTAATAAGTATTTGCTATAGTTCACTAATGTGCATTCTGGGACAAACTGATGCTCATCTCAGAAGATTGTGTTAAGGTACAGAGTTAAGCGCAGTTTTGCATATTATTGGCAAATAAAATAATTTCATTTCGTGGCTAAATCAATAAAACATTACCATACCCCACGCAGCCATGGTAGATAAAATACCTAACATGTAAAACAAAACGGAACAAAACAAGATTAAACACACCAACAGAGACAAACTCAAAAATGCTGAGTCGTAAAAAACAAAACAAAAGTTCAACCCAACATCTTACAAGCCCATGGGGGGCTGTTCAGCTGAAGTCTCGGTCGGGAAACATGAGAGGGGCGAGCAGAGTCCAGAGGTAGAGGCCCAGGCCCAGCCAACTGGAGCTGATCTTCACCCACACAGCTGGCATACTGCTCTGCATGGCCTGGGTGGTGGTGTCAGGCCTGAGGAAGGAAGGGAGAAGGTGTCAGTTTAAAGAGTGTATCTTTATAGTGGCTTTCTATCCTCGTCTCATCCCCTTAATTTAGACTGACTGAGTAATACGCTGGATTAATGCTTTCACACAAAGGCTATTGAGATTCACCCAAATAAATATCCCTCCTGATCCCATGGCTTTCAAACTGACAAGGAATACATACACAACCTACCCAATAGGACTCCTAGAAATATTGTAAAATGTTCTAACATTTCTAAAGAGCTGTGGCTCTGCAGGTCAGCTGTTGCTGTACTTACTGGTACCAGTTGGTGAGTGTCATCATGATGTAGAGGGAGGCCAAGCAGAGGTGGAAGTGGAAGAAAGAGTAGCTGTAGGTGACCCCCTCCTCCTCATTATCCACGGCCCGCCGCACACCGTCCTCCCCTACCTCGCCCTCTCCTCCGTAACCCCCGCCCTCCTCGGTCTGCATCAGCTTGTTCACCTGGGTGTTGCTGGACGAACGGATACTGAGGGAGGGAGTCAAGTCAAATCAAGCTTTATTTATACAGCACATTTCAGACATGGAATGCAACACAATGTGCTTCACACGAAAAAACAAATAAAAACAAAAACTGAAATATTTACTACACAACAAACATAAGAGGATAAAAAAACAAAAGAATAACAATAAAAACGGAATGACTAAAAAGCACCCTAAGGAAAAGCAAAGCTAAAAAGGTGTGGGAACGCGGGAAAGAGAATGGAAAAAGTGAATGAGACAGACATAGAGAAAGGGAGAAAGAAGAGAGAAGGGGAGAGAGAGGTGTGGAGAGAAAAAGAGATAGACAAATAGAGAGAGACCAGGAATCAGCATGGGAAATCCCTCAAGATCATAGCATAACAAACAATTCAATAAGCAGCCATGATATGGATCCAAATTGGAGTAGCTAGCTACCTGGCATAGAGAGTGCAGAAGAGGAAGATGACCAAACCCACGATGCTCTGGGCGTCCCACCACTGCACCTGTCCTGGGGCATTGGTGGGTGTGGGCTCACTGGAGCTGACATTTGACACCAGACTCAGCAGGCTGGGGTTACACTTACGATCTGAGAGAGACACACACAGCAAATCAGCCATAGAATGTAGGATAGCTATGCGGAAGAAAAAGAAAACACATAAAGCGACCTGCAGTCTTGAGGAAGGCAACAGCCAGGGCTCTAAACCTACCATCACAACAGATGTGTCTCTTAATTACACTTATAGAGACACTCCAACACCTGTCTGAGCTTTTCTACTGACCCACTACAAGCACAAGTACAAGCATGGAACATAAGTAGGACCAGGAGTTTTTCCTGACCATGTGACTTAACCAGAAAACAACTCCAGGCCCTAGTAAATGTAACAGGTTTGGGAAAGGTGAGTGAACTACCAAAGTCTGCCAAACTCACCAGTAGGTAACACTCATAGTGCTGCAGTGGTTTGGAAAGCAAAGATAAACTGGAGGGAGAAAGTCAAAATGACTGTATACAATGACAACAATGGCAGACACTCTGTTGAAACTGGAATGGGAAAGAGGCTGAGACTCACTTGGGTTGTTGGTCATGGCGGACCAGGTGACATACATGGTGTAGAGGGAGATGAGAGAGGCCTGGAGCAGACCAGACTGGGGCTGGGCTTCCTGTGACACACAAAAACATAGGCACTGGTAAACACATGTACGTAGTGGAACAAATTCATCACCATGCAATGCATACAATTGTCAACACCGTTATCAACAAAAACAGACTAATAAAAGCATTCCCTTACCAAACATTGCATCAATTATTACTGATATATTTGCTAAAACTGTTCTTTCATTTGAGAAGGAGGGCAATGAAACAGCCACAATACCTGTACTTTGGGCAGGATGGAGACGATGGAGATGATGACGCTGAAGATGAGGTTGAGGCTGATGAAGACCTTGTGCTCGGTGCAGTCGTCAGGCTGGGTGTAGTAGATGTAGAACAGCACCACTGAGGTGAAGGCCAGTGCGTAGTGGAGGAAGGTGAATGACAACAGTCCTGAGGGAGAGAGGGGCAACATGGAGAGGGTCGGTAAAAACAGTCATGTATGACGAAAAACCCCATACTCTTCAGATGCATATACTGGTTCTATGTTCTCTCTAGGACAGTGTTCTTCAATCCTGTTCCTGGACAGCCACAAGGGGTGCAGGCTTTTGTTCCAGTCCATTACTACTAACACCACATTCAACGTATCAAGGGTTGATGATTAGTTGATTGGCTAGTTAAATCAGGTATTAGTATATGGCTGGAACAAATGCATGCACACCCTGTGGGCCTCCAGGAGCAGGAAGAACCCTGCTGCTCTAGAAGAATAAACACAGTCATGGTAGTATAACTTCTTGAGCAGCATTAAGGTACTATGTCCTCTGGAGAAAGTACTGTAACTGTACCTGCAAACCAGCACTTTGAGTTGCCCTCTTCGGCATTCCCCACCCATAACTTGTTCCAAGAGTGGGCAAAGTCGATGAGAAGGATGAGCTGGATGACGATGAAGATGAAGGAGCCAACCACGCCAAAGTAAAACCACACTGTCGGGGGAGGTAAGAGACGGATCAATAAACAAATAAATACAACCCACTTCCTGGATCCCATAGCATGGGATGGACAGACATGGTGATTGACATCAAGTGAGTGCATACATTTTTCATACTGGCCCCCCGTGGCTATAAGATAAATATCAGGTTTGGTGAGCCCTGAAATGCAATTTTGTTCATTTGTCTGATTCCTTTTGTTCACAAGAGCATAAACAGCATACTTTACATGTAATAACTCAATCGCTCAAGGTTGAGGATCTTTCAGAGGGAAAATGTTTTTCACCGATGCACTGTACCCTGAACATAACAATGTTCCTGTTTGCTAGTCATTTGCCAATGATTAAGCCAGTACTGTCAGAAGTCACTTGACAGTCATTTAAAGTTTAACTGTGATCATCAAAGTACCAGTATGGAAGGTTCCATCCGGGATGAAGAAGGCTCCCACAGTGATGCCAACCAGGATCAGAAACTTAAAGAACCAGAAACTGGGAAGAAAACACAGGTTTCACATAGACTGTGACACAAAAGCATAGTACGTCACAAAAACAGAGTATTTTCATGAGTCTTCTCTAAGAGAAGCCAGTGAACTTGAGCCTGAAAGTTACAAAAAGGTCTTATACATGATTTGTACACAACTTATTACAGTACTATTATTACAGTATTACAGTACTAACCCAAAATGGGTTGAAATGACATAGACCGGTTTCTGATTGTCATTGTGTCACTTCAAACCGTTTCGCCGGCTGGAAATGCAAACGGTGAAGTGGTGGGGCGGCAGGTAGCCTAGCGGTTAAAGGTGAGCCAGCAACCGCTGGTATCAAATCCTCAAATTGCCTGCCGTTGTGCCCTTAAGCAAGGCGCTTAAGCCCCCACAACACCTGCTCCACAGGCGCCCAGTGTTGCAGCCCCCCACTCCAACCTGTATATGTATGTGTGTCTTTCGGGGGGGGGGCTGGGAAAAAGCAGAGGTCACATTTTGGTTGGACCTTGTGTACAATTGATTAATAAAGTGATCTTAATCTTAATTGGAGCTCACCCATTCTGAATGGCTGCACGCGGGTCTTTGCTGTTCTGGACGCGGACCATGATGGCTGAGAAGAGGAAGAAGAAGCAGGTCATGGCGAAGCACATGCGGTACACGGACTTGTAGCCCACAATGACATCACAGTTAAACTGGTTCTCCATGCCTGGTATGGTACTCCCACCCTGACAGAAGCCTGGGATCTAGAGGGGGAAAGGATAAAAAGGGCATTTCAATTTCATTTTGAGTAGCGTTTCTAAAAAGACATCGTCACAGAAAGTGCTATAACTATTTTTTGTTTTACTCCTAGGAAATGCATTCAGGTGTTACGCTCTTACGTCACACGTTGACATTGTCCGACAAATACTTACACCACACACACTAGTGATACACGGGTTGACTCATAACCCGCAGTCCCCACGGTTATATACGCGGGGCGGGCGGGTGTAGGGTCATGAAATGTTGTGTGGATGAAGGGCGGGTGGGTGGCGGTCAGGTCATAAAATTAACTTTTTGGTCCACCAGCCACTGTGGCAGGTAGATTTAAAAATCTACTAGCCACTCAAGATTTTTTTTACCAGCCCAAATTACAAATGTGCACTAAAATTACATCAACATGAAAACCGATGAGCATGCTTTGTAATGTTTCTAAAACAAATGTATTACTAGTAAGAAGCAATGTGGTACATTGTTTATTTTAATTTCAGGGTTCGTAAAAGTCAAATTCAAGGACTTTCAAGTACTTTTTCAAGCACTAATATTTATTTTCAAGGACCATCAATTTGTAATAGTTCCTATTATGTAATTGTTTCTAGTTGCCACAAGATCGCAGTATATCGCCACAACCTCATGAAAAAAACGAACTACCTTACTATTCATCACAAGTTCTACTCAGTAATACGTGTTTCACTACTTATTTACTAAGTCAGTAGTGATGATGTTGACTGATTTCCTTATATGAACTGTAACTCAGTAAAATCTTTGAAAATGTTGCATTTTGCATTTATATTTTTGTTCAGTGTACATGATAATATTAAATTGTTTTCATATTTAAATTGTCTTTATGTTTCACAAAATGTTTGGTATCACAGGCTGTCCCAACACAATGATATAAAAGTGAATTCTGACAGTGTAAAAGGTCCTTAGTTGACTCTAAAATGTTATTAATGTGTTTATTAAGATTAAAGATTCTCTCAGGGGACCCAATTTACATTTTAAGGTACCCCACATGGGTCCCGGACCCCAAGTTTGGGAACCACTGTACTACTAACCTCTCTCCCTGCTTGCTTCAATGCTTCCTCTTTCTTTGTATCTCATTTGCCTCCTTCATTGCAGCCTGACTCACCACTGTCTGTCTCACTACTCTCTGTAAATAAAAGGTATTTTGTTATGAGAAATTTTAGTAGCCCATCTTTTCATTATAGCTAGCTTAATTTCAGTCAACTGCTCCTGCTGTCAGGCTGAACACTAGCTTCTAACTTCATCCTTCTAGCCAGCTAGTTATAGCTAGCTACCTGGCTAATAGCCAGAGCCCTTGAGCTACCTAAAGTGGGGAGAACAAGTATTTGATACACTGCCGATTTTGCAGGTTTTCCTACTTACAAAGCATGTAGAGGTCTGTAATTTTTATCATAGGTACACTTCAACTGTGAGAGACGGAATCTAACCCTGCCTGACCCTGAGCCTGCCTGTCGGTCTGTACCTCTTGACACTGCCCTGGATTACTGACCGTTTGCCTGCCCCCTGTTTTGTAAATAAACTTTTGTTATTTCGAATTGTCTGTATCTGGGTCTTATCCTGAGGTCTGATCATTTTGATTTGTTTAACACTTTTTTGGTTACTACATGATTCCATATGTGTATTTTATAGTTTTGATGTCTTCACTATTATTCTACAATGTCATTGTATATGTTGCTTGTTTTCCTGAGCGGTATCTCTCCTACTAATTCCTGAGTACTTTATATTTTGCACTGTGGGTTTCGTCCCGCTTTAAACTATGGTGCTTTAATAAATTCAGTAGTTCTAAACCTGCGACTGCCTCCTTTCTACTCCTCTCTACACTTGTGACAGAATGACCGACCCAAGAAAACAAGAAGCAGCAGAACATCCCGACCTCTCCACTGTAGGAGTGAAGCGCCGCCACCACGACTCGTGCCTTTAGCGCCTCAGGACTACCATGGATGAGGTGCTTCGGGTCGTACGCCAACTTCAGGCTACACCACCACCTTCCCAGCTCCCCGCGGTCGTTCCAGCCACCCCACCACCATCTACATCACCTGGTCCGATCAGCAACGTCCACCTGCCACTCCCGGAGCGGTTTGACGGCACCCCAGCTCACTGTAGGGGGTTTCTCCTGCAGTGACCTCCACCTTGCCCGTCATGCCGGGACGGCCTCCGAGAGGGACAAGGTGGCCTTGGTGATCTCGGGGCTGACAGACCGGGCTCTGGAGTGGGCGCACGCTGTCTGGGAGAGGGACGGTCCAGAAGTACAGTCCTATGAGCCCTTCGCCCAACTCTTCCGTGCCGTCTTCAACCACCCAACAGAGGGCCGAGAGGGAGGTGAGCGTCTCCTCAGTCTACGCCAGGGGTCCAGGACAGCGTCGTAGTACGCTCTGGATTTCCGGATGGTTGCTGCATCCACTGGCTAGAACGACCAGGCCCTGTTGACGGTTTTCCACAGCGGGCTACAGGCGGACGTCCAGACCGAGCTGGCCTGTCGCGATGAGGACCTCACGCTGGACCAGCTCATCGCCATGGCCATCCGCCTGGATAATCTCCTGCGTGCCCGTCATCGCCCATCCCGGGGGTTCGGTTCTCTCCCAGGAACCTCCAGCGAGACTGAGCCCATGGAGGTGGGCACGACGCACCTTCCCCTGCGCCGTCAACAGGGTCTCTGCTCCTATTGTGGGGAGTCAGACCACCCATGGAACACCTGTCCCAGAAGGAGAACTGAGAAGCGCTCCTGCACCTTCCCAGGTAGGCGTGGACATGCCTTTCTCCTCTCTGTCCACCCAGCCCGTCCTCCTCCCTGTCACCTTCCCTGACTATCCTGGTCCCCCACTGAGTCCTGCCCTAGTGGACTCAGGTGCTGCAGGCAATTTCCTAGACCAGTCAGTGGCCTTATCATTACGCATTCCTCTAGTCCCTTTACAACCCCCTATCCCAGTCCATGCCATAGACAACCATCCCCTAGAAACAGGACTGGTGCGCCAGACCACGATTCCCATTTCCCTCACAGTTAATCACAACCACAATGAATGCATCACTTTCCTCATCTTAGACTCTCCTGCACACCCCGTAGTTTTAGGTTTCCCCTGGCTACAGTTGCATAACCCCAGTATATCGTGGACAGAGAGGAGGTTGTTGGGTTGGTCGCAGGAGTGTCAGAGGAGGTGTCTCTATGTGTCAATCTGTGCCACCTTCGTGGAAAGTCCGGACCAGGCCATCCACGTCCCTATCCCGGAGGAATACCAGGACCTAAAGGTGGTCTAGGTGACACCCATTATTCCCGTCCCTCATTGAGGCCCCTGTCGTGTGGAATGTGGATGCGGACATCCGTCGAGCCCTGCAACAAGAGCCCTCACCTGTCACAGTCCCGAGGGGCGTATCTACATGCCCTCTGATGTGCGGGACCGTCTCCTTGCCTGGGCACACACAGCACCAGTGTCGGGGCACCCGGGTATAGCCCGTAGTATCGACTGTCTCTCCGCAAAGTACTGGTGGCCCACCTTGGCCCGGGGTGTCCGGGTTTACGTCTCTTCCTGCTCCACCTGCGCACAGAGAGCACGACACCGAGACACCTCCCCTATGGCAAACAACACCCGCTGTCGGTTCCACAACGACCGTGGTCCCATCTCTCTGTGGACTTTGTCACAGACCTTCCCCCCTCGGAGGGGCACACCACCGTCCTTGTCGTTGTGGACCAGTTTTATAAAGCCTGTCGTTTGATTCCTCTGCCTGGTCTCCCTACGGCCATGCAGACCGCGGAGGCTCTCTTCTCTCACGTCTTCCGGCACTACGGGATCCCGTAGGACATCGTGTCTGACCGTGGTCCTCAATTCACCTCCCGTGTCTGGAAGGCCATCATGGAACGACTGAGGATCACTGTCAGCCTCACCTCCAGGTACCATCCCCAATCAAATGGGCAGGTGGAAAGGGTAAATCAGGAACTGGGTAGGTACCTTCGTAGTTACTGTCAGGACCAGCCGGGGGAGTGGGCTGCGTTTCTGCCTTGGGGGGGCTGTCACACCAGCCAACGCTTTAGATGCCCCTCCTGTCCAGCTCAGGCGTTGCCGGCCTTCTAGCTGCTGCCAATTCTATCAATGTATATATACTCCCTCTGTTATTTGTCTTTGTCGGTCATTGTATATGTTGCTTGTTTTTCTGAGAGGTATCTCTCCTACTAATTCCTGAGTACTTTATATTTTGTACTGTGGGTTTCGTCCCGCTTTAAGCTATGGTGCAGTAATAAATTCAGTAGTTCTAAACCTGCGACTGCCTCCTGCCTACTCCTCTCTACACTTGTGACATATACAAGCCAAACTGAAATCTTATCAGAAACATTCTGGGTTGTTTTCACAGCTTTCGATTCCTTACAACTGATCAAACTGATGTAATTTGGAAATTTTGCACAGAAAATCTTTCCCTTTTGTTGTTGTTATTGCATTTTCGCCCCGGTCCCTAAATGTCTTTGCTCCGTGAAAGAAGCAGAGATGACAGAGCAAACTTTACCGATGTCAACTAGATTGAAGCGTCCATTCTATAATTTATTACATTATTCTGGTCTAATGAGACAAGTTGACTTACAAATAGCCTACCAAAATGTTGGAAATTATAAGCAGAAACATATCTAAATTAGGCCAAAAAAATCCTGCACCCATATTTGCGGGTTAGGGTCGGGTACGGGCCTCAGATTTTCAGTTTATCACATATAGTTGGGCGGTTGCGGATGGGTTATTAGTAATTGCGGGCAGGTGCGGGTAAACAAACAGCTGAACTAACAGCACCACTAACACACAGACACACTGACAGGAGTGTCTTACTTTTTGGAGCTGTGCCTCCATGCCAGGGAGGATCATGATGACAGACACCAGGGTCCCTAGGAGTAGAAAGAAGGAGAACACCAGCCGGGTGACGGTGGAGTTTCTGGAGGAGGGACAGCAGCCACATAGCAGACACGGAGCGGAGCCACACAGACAGGAGGCCTAGTGGAGAAAGAAGCGAGAAAGGAGTGAGAATCAGAGAACAGTAGCCTGGTGGAGTTCCAGAACGAATACATCTGTACAACGCTGTTAGTCACTTGTTTTATGTACAGATTGTATGCTGATGTCTTACTTCTACAGTAATGTGGATGCTACCATGATTACAGATAATCCTGAATGAATCGTGAATAATGACAAGTGAGAAAGTTAGAGGCACAAAGATCATACCCCAAGACATGCTAACCTCTCAACTCCCAATAACAGGGGAGGTTAGCATGTTTTTTGGGGGTATGATATTTATGCCTCCAACTTTCTCACTTGTCATTATTCACGATTCATTCAGGATTATCCATTAAGTGCAATTCCTCAACAATATCTTAAGATTTAATGATTTTCTTACGAACTTCTCAAATAGCTTCTTACTAATCTTCTTAAGATGTTGTTGCTAGGCAACCGATTTAGCTAGCAATGGCAATCATGCTAGCATATTTTGTACTGAGATTACTGTTCTAAAACATGTTCTTGGGTTTAAAATAATACGTTTATGAGTGAATGAATCATGTTCAATTGCTTTCCTGAGTTTATTCTCTCACTGCCCTGAGTTTAAGACAAGGGTTTAGCTATCTTTGAAATAATTACATTTCCAAGAACTTTCTTTTCAATAATCTAATTTCTTCCTATTTTTTTGCTTAAGGAGAAACATAAGAAATAGCGCAATACATTTTTCAATAACCTTTTCGAGGAATAGCAACTTTGCTTAACTTTCTTTATAAGTCTATAGTTAAGAAAATAATGTAAGTTTTTTTAAAAAAAATTTAAGAAGGTTTTGTGAATCTGGGCCCTGTTCATCGTTGTCTGACACTACTTATCTCCAATAACGCAAATGGTCTGACTAAATAAACACTTTGTTGGCAGGTGATACTTCTGGTTGGCTAGGTAACGTTAGGTTCACAGGAATACATGTTCTATATCGTGGAGCTCCGCCCCATAGGGGAGCTCTGCTCCTAGTGGTTTACCCTCTGCCCTACGGCAGAAACAGCCTGAAGCAAAATTATGCACACACCTGCAGGTTGTGCAGCATTTACTGTGATATTTTATGGCCTCTGCAGAAGTCAGGGCATTCATACTTCTTGCACTTCAAGGAGCAGCGCTGAGCTGTTGAGTATAACTGTTGTGAAGGAAGTTGTCAAGGAAGTGAGTGTGTTCATACAGGACCTCTCGCCCCCACCTACTGTCAACCAATCATGTCAATGTGGAGCTATACAGAGCCCTTCACATTATTAAAACATTTGGGAGGAGCAACGCGATACGGTAGTGACAATTTGGCCTCCGGAGGCTCCGAGATTATGTCACAACCTCCACATGGAGCCTCCGACAACATTTTCGGATCAAACATAAATTGGCATTTAACGTTAGTTAGGCTACTGAAGGCGAACAAAACATTACTGGGTAATGGTAACTGAAGTTAACGACTAGTTGTCGTCGTATTTATGCCAGCAAGCAAACATGTCGAGCTAGCTATCGGACGTCTCCTGTAAACCCAGATTCTGATTCTGCTAGCGATAAAACGTTCTAGCTTGCTAACACCATTGACCAATTGCTAGCTAACCGCGAAGTCTCTAACACAGAAACAGCAGCATGAAAGGATTTGGTTGTGCTACTTACACAGCTAGCAAGAGAGCACAAGGCCATGCAAGCCCCCATTTTGTAACCGATGTCTTCTTCTTCTCTGGTATTATGTCGGTCCACAAACAAACGTTAAAGGTGCATGCCACCACCTACTGTACGGGTAGTGAACGAAAGAAAATCGATTGCTGGAAAGGGGGAAAAAAACAATCATAATTCAATACAAAGATGTAATACATCAGTATGTAGGGTTTTCAGCAATTACATTCGCCACATTTGGCTCCATGTGAACTACAATTCCGACGCTGTGTTTTAACGTTTAGAAACGTAAATAATTGCTTTCTAAACGGTTTTCGAAACATACACTGATATGCCCCCCCTTACAAAAAATATTATAATTTTGAAAGTGCAGTAACTGCAGTCGACTGTGGCATTTTGGACGCAGTAATTGCAGAATAACTGCAGTGTACTGCAGAATAACTGTAGTTCTACTGCACTTTGCCTGCATTTTTCCCGTATGGGCCATGTCTTTCATGTCAGCGAGAAATAAGCTTAAATAAAAAAAATCTACACTTACTGTAGCAGTTTTGCACATATTCATACACTGTGTGTGCCATGTGACCGCAGTTGACGAACTACAGTTCCTCCCCAATTAATTTACACACAGGTTTTCAGAGCATGCTAGATAGCTAATTAGCACAGGTGGTGGCCTATGTCTTCTGTCTGTCTTCCATAAACAAGCGCTGCAACATGGAGATAATGGCAGTGTGGGAACACTAACCTTAAACCAATAAAGGTGTGTAGTAATTTACCTTTAGTTTTTTGAAAATTGTTTCTCACTGATATAAAATATACATTCCTTATAATATAATAATATGCCATTTAGTAGATGCTTTTATCCAAAGCGACTTAAAGTCATGCGTGCATAATTTTTTGTTTGTTTGTGTATGGGTGGTCCCGGGGCTCAAACGCACTACCTTGGCGTTACAAGCGCCGTGCTCTACCAGCTGAGGTACAGAGGACCATCTTATGTTTCCAAAACAGTACCGCAAGCGATGCGTGTTAATGTTTAGAGCAAATGTTGGGGCTCTTAACAAAACTCCCCCAGTCAGAAGATCCTATGACAATAGGTGCTATAGTAATTAGCGTCTATGAATGGGGTAGTCAGGATCCTGTTTGCAAGTAACATTTACCGGTGTCTCTAATCGAACTACCATGGTTTCTTCAACGTTACTCCCTTCTTCCACTCTTCTCAACTCCTCAACATATTAAGTGTGTGCCCTTAGGCCTCTACTACCACATATCTATAACACAAAATCCATGTGTACAGTGGGGAAAAAAAGTATTTAGTCAGCCACCAATTGTGCAAGTTCTCCCACTTAAAAAGATGAGAGAGAACTGTAATTTTCATCATAGGTACACGTCAACTATGACAGACAAAATGAGAAAAAGAAATCCAGAAAATCACATTGTAGGATTTTTAATGAATTTATTTGCAAATTATGGTGGAAAATAAGTATTTGGTCAATAACAAAAGTTTCTCAATACTTTGTTATATACCCTTTGTTGGTCAAACGTTTTCTGTAAGTCTTCACAAGGTTTTCACACACTGTTGCTGGTATTTTGGCCCATTCCCCCATGCAGATCTCCTCTAGAGCAGTGATTATGAATTTATTTGCAAATTATGGTGGAAAATAAGTATTTGGTCACCTACAAACAAGTAAGATTTCTGGCTCTCACAGACCTGTAACTTCTTCTTTAAGAGGCTCCTCTGTCCTCCACTCGTTACCTGTATTAATGGCACCTGTTTGAACTTGATATCAGTACAAAAGACACCTGTCCACAACCTCAAACAGTCACACTCCAAACTCCACTATGGCCAACACCAAAGAGCTGTCAAAGGACACCAGAAACAAAATTGTAGACCTGCACCAGGCTGGGAAGACTGAATCTGCAATTGGTAAGCAGCTTGGTTTGAAGAAATCAACTGTGGGAGCAATTATTAGGAAATGGAAGACATACAAGACCACTGATAATCTCCCTCGATCTGGGGCTCCACGCAAGATCTCACCCCGTGGGGTCAAAATGATCACAAGAACGGTGAGCAAAAATCCCAGAACCACACGGGGGGACCTAGTGAATGACCTGCAGAGAGCTGGGACTAAAGTAACAAAGCCTACTATCAGTAACACACTACGCCGCCAGGGACTCAAATCCTGCAGTGCCAGACGTGTCCCCCTGCTTAAGCCAGTACATGTCCAGGCCCGTCTGAAGTTTGCTAGAGTGCATTTGGATGATCCAGAAGAGGATTGGGAGAATGTCATATGGTCAGATTAAACCAAAATAGAACTTTTTGGTAAAAACTCAACTCGTCGTGTTCATACCTACTGTGAAGCATGGGGGTGGAAACATCATGCTTTGGGGCTGTTTTTCTGCAAAGGGACCAGGACGACTGATCCGTGTAAAGGAAAGAATGAATGGGGCCATGTATCGTGAGATTTTGAGTGAAAACCTCCTTCCATCAGCAAGGGCATTGAAGATGAAACGTGGCTGGGTCTTTCAGCATGACAATGATCCCAAACACACCGCCCGGGCAACGAAGGAGTGGCTTCGTAAGATGCATTTCAAGGTCCTGGAGTGGCCTAGCCAGTCTCCAGATCTCAACCCCATAGAAAATCTTTGGAGGGAGTTGAAAGTCCGTGTTGCCCAGCGACAGCCCCAAAACATCACTGCTCTAGAGGAGATCTGCATGGAGGAATGGGCCAAAATACCAGCAACAGTGTGTGAAAACCTTGTGAAGACTTACAGAAAACGTTTGACCTGTGTCATTGCCAACAAAGGGTATATAACAAAGTATTGAGAAACTCAACCAGCTTCACCTGGGATGCTTTTCCAACAGTTCTTGAAGGTGTTCCCACATGTGCTGAGCACTTGTTAGCTGCTTTTCTTGGGCTGCGGTCCGACTCATCCCAAACCATCTCAATTGGGTTGAGGTTGGGGGATTGTGGAAGCCAGGTCATCTGATGCAGCACTACATCACTCGACTTCTTGGTAAAATAGCCCTTACACAGCCTGGAGGTGTGTTGGGTAATTGTCCTGATGAAAAACAAATGATAGTCCCACTAAGCCCAAACCAGATGGGATGGCGTGTCGCTGCAGAATGCTGTGGTAGCCATGCTGGTTAAGTGTGCCTTGAATTCTAAATAAATGTCAGACAGTGTCACCAGCAAAGCACCCCCACACCATAACACCTCCTCCTCCATACTTTACGGTGGGACCTACACATGCGGAGATCATCCGTTCACCCACACCGAGTCTCACAAAGACACAGTGGTTGCAACCAAAAATCTCAAATTTGGACTCCAGACCAAAGGACAGATTTCCACCGGTCTACTGTCCATTGCTCGTGTTTCTTGGCCCAAGCAGGTCTCTTCTTATTATTGGTGTCCTTTAGTAATGGTTTCTTTGCAGCAATTCGACCATGGCCTGATTCACACAGTCTCCTCCGAACAGTTGATGTTGAGATGTGTCTGTTACTTGAACTTGAACATTTATTTGGGCTGCAATTTCTGAGGCTGGTAACTTTAATGAACTTATCCTCTGCAGCAGAGGTAACTCTGGGTCTTCCATTCCAGTGGCGGTCCTCATGAAAGCCAGTTTCATCATAGCGCTTGATGGTTTTTGCGACTGCACTTGAAGAAACTTTCAAAGTTCTTTACATTTTCCGTATTGACTGACCTTCATGTCTTAAAGTAATGATGGACTGTCATTTCTCTTTGCTTATTTGAGCTGTTCTTGCCATAATATGGACTTGGTCTTTTACCAAATAGGGCAATCTTCTGTATACCCCCCCTACCTGGTACTGTTATATACTGTTTTATACCTGTGCAGTTCCCCCTAAAACCCCCTGTACATAGGACATATGATACAGACAATGAGGAAAAAACAAGAAAATCAAATTAGATTTTTTAATTTGCAAATTATGGTGGAAAATAAGTATTTGGTCAATAACAAAAGTTTCTCAATACTTTGTTATATACCCTTTGTTGGCAATGACACAGGTCAAACGTTTTCTGTAAGTCTTCACAAGGTTTTCACACACTGTTGCTGGTATTTTGGCCCATTCCTCCATGCAGATCTCCTCTAGAGCAGTGATGTTTTGGGGCTGTCGCTGGGCAACACGGACTTTCAACTCCCTCCAAAGATTTTCTATGGGGTTGAGATCTGGAGACTGGCTAGGCCATTCCAGGACCTTGAAATGCTTCTTACGAAGCCACTCCTTCGTTGCCCGGGCGGTTGTGTTTGGGATCATTGTCATACTGAAAGACCCAGCCACGTTTCATCTTCAATGCCCTTGCTGATGGAAGGAGGTTTTCACTCAAAATCTCACGATACATGGCCCCATTCATTCTTTCCTTTACACGGATCAGTCGTCCTGGTCCCTTTGCTGAAAAACAGCCCCAAAGCATGATGTTTCCACCCCCATGCTTCACAGTAGGTATGGTGTTCTTTGGATGCAACTCAGCATTCTTTGTCCTCCAAACACGACGAGTTGAGTTTTTACCAAAAAGTTATATTTTGGTTTCATCTGACCATATGACATTCTCCCAATCCTCTTCTGGATCATCCAAATGCACTCTAGCACGGGCCTGGACATGTACTGGCTTAAGCAGGGGGACACGTCTGGCACTGCAGGATTTAAGTCCCTGGCGGCGTAGTGTGTTACTGATGGTAGGCTTTGTTACTTTGGTCCCAGCTCTCTGCAGGTCATTCACTAGGTCCCCCCGTGTGGTTCTGGGATTTTTGCTCACTGGTCTTGTGATCATTTTGACCCCACGGGGTGAGATCTTGCGTGGAGCCCCAGATCGAGGGAGATTATCAGTGGTCTTGTATGCCTTCCATTTCCTAATAATTGCTCCCACAGTTGATTTCTTCAAACCAAGCTGCTTACCTATTGCAGATTCAGTCTTCCCAGCCTGGTGCAGGTCTACAATTTTGTTTCTGGTGTCCTTTGACAGCTCTTTGTGTTGGCCATAGTGGAGTTTGGAGTGTGGACTGTTTGAGGTTGTGGACAGGTGTCTTTTATACTGATAACAAGTTCAAACAGGTGCCATTAATACAGGTAACGAGTGGAGGACAGAGGCGCCTCTTAAAGAAGAAGTTACAGGTCTGTGAGAGCCAGAAATCTTGCTTGTTTGTGGGTGACCAAATACTTATTTTCCACCATAATTTGCAAATAAATTCATTAAAAATCCTACAATGTGATTTTCTGGAACTTTTTTCCTCAATTTGTCTGTCATAGTTGACGTGTACCTATGATGAAAATTACAGGCCTCTCTCATCTTTTTAAGTGGGAGAACTTGCACAATTGGTGGCTGACTAAATACTTTTTTTCCCCACTGTATACACTACCGGTCAAAAGTTTTAGAACACCTACTCATTTAAGGGTGTTTCTTTATTTTTACTATTTTCTACATTGTAGAATAATAGTGAAGACATCAAAACTATGAAATAACCAAAAAAGTGTTTAATAAAATCAAAATATAATTTATATTTGAGATTCTTCAAATAGCCACCCTTTGCTTTGATGATAGCTTTGCACACTCCTGGCATTCTCTCAACCAGGTTCATGAAGTAGTCACCTGGAATGCATTTCAATTAACAGGTGTGCCTTGTTAAAAGTTAATTTGTGGAATTTCTTTCTTCCTTAATGCGTTTGAGCCAATCAGTTGTGTTGTGACATGGTAGGGAGGGTACACAGAAGATAGCCCTATTTGGTAAAAGACCAAGTCCATATTATGGCAAGAACAGCTCAAATAAGCAAAGAGAAACGACAGTGGGAAATAGCCTGAAGCACAATAGACAAGTCCTAAGATGGAGCTAAAAGCTAGGAGACTAGGTGTAAATGACGCACTCCCTTCATAAATTGACATAACATTTACATTTTAGTCATTTAGCAGACGCTCTTATCCAGAGCGACTTACAGTTAGTGAGCACATACATTTTTCATTTTTTTGAATACTGGCCCCCCGTGGGTGTTTCCCTACTGTGTTATTGTCAAAGCCTATATGACAGGCCGAGATAGCGGCTAAATAGACCTTAACAGTGGAGAATTCCTTCCCTCTATCCAAAAGTTCCTACAAGAAGCATAAACCCTTGGATACAGAGCATTGGTAAGGAATGATCTGCTTCTGGTCACACCACTTCTCAAAAACGC